ACACACATACTATTATTAGTAAAGTAAATTATATTTTAATCATCAAATTACAGTTATATTCAAAACATATACTATCTTAATAAGAAATTATTAGTTAAAAATTTAAACAAAAATGGTATATATAAACGTTAAAATATCTTCTTAACTTCCAAATATTATAATATACTACCAATTACATTTTTTGCTAATTATATTATTATTTATTTATTTATTATATAGTCGATAAAATAACGATATGAAGTTTGATTTATTTTTATTTTTAGTATATTTAGTTGCAGTAATACATTAGTGACACATCAGTAAACATTTCCACTGTGTATAAGTAAATTGTTTTATATCGTATCAACGTAACACCACTAAATGTGTTATCATTTTAATTTTTAAATTGTATATTAAATAAAAAAAATAATCTAATTTTCATTAACTACCTATAAAAATAAATAAATATAGTTTCTAATGTATTATTTTCTATAAACTTATTTTGATTTTTTAATAATAGTATGTAGGTAGGTATTCCTAATTTTACTATATTTATTAAAATCAATCTAGTGACATTTTAATTTTGTGTCATTAGTTTAATTAAAATTTATATTTATATATAATAATCAATTTATTTTACATATTAATACAACTTAATTTTAAAAGAAAGATACTAAATGCATGAAAGATATTATTAGGTACCTATGTATTTAAGTGTTTTTTTTTTGTCAAAGGTATTTATTTTGACATGTAACTTTTATTTAATAATAATATTAAGCCTATGGTGTATTATTAAGCTTTTCAGTATTTCCGTTGTGATAAATTGTACTCATGAATCTTATTTGAACTTTTATTTTTCAACATATAATCGGTAAGTTTGAAATAGTAACGCCGACTCCGTGAATAAATGTTTAATGTTTTGAAATGTCTGTATCACTGAACTTCATAAATTATTTAAAAATATTATATGTTTATATTTATCTTCTCCATATAATATGTATACACATCTGACGCTACGTCGCTACAAGTATGGTCGAATGGTTTTCATTTCCAATCCTTAGGATTTGAAGGGAACGAAAAGAATTCTGATGTCCGATTTGTCTGTATACATGTCTTTTACGTCGTATACTGTTATGTGGTCGAATTTTTGTTCGTTTGCTTCAATAAATCGACATTTTTCTTTCTCGATTCATACCAAAATGGTTTAAACATGAACTTTTCTATGATTTAAAAACTGAAATGTAAATATATATTTTTATACATATAGGTTGAACAATATCTCATCGGATGCCAATGTTCTTTGTCTCGGAAATATGTAGGTAATTTTAATTGTTATATACTGGCTATTGCAGGTACACATAATACCTATATATTTTTGTTTTATTATTTTATTTTTTATGAATTTAGTTGGATATTGGAATTTTCTAATATTATTATGATGCTTTTAACATCTAATCTTAGTAATTTCATTACTAATCTTCGATTTATAGTTACGATAATGGTATAGGGGCCCATCAATATATTTTTTTATGCAAATAGATCACTTTTTATTAAAACCATTTTAATATTTTAAAAATGAGTATAAAAAATTCACACGTGTGAAGTTATTTATTTTATCAACTGTAAAAATGGGAACATAATATTTGGAATTTCGCGAAGTCATGTCAAACGAAATGTCGCCGTGCCGTGGTCTCCGCTCTGGCCGTAGAGGTTACGATATACGTTCATTTTCACTACACAAAATAATTGTTACACCGTGGTGCACAGACAACGTTTCCCAGAGATTTAAAGTTCAACCATTTTTTAGATTTTTTCTGCCACTTAAAGGAAAACGGCTGAGAAAGCACCGGGTTACATGAGACGAAAAATATTTCGCTTTCCGCGAAGAACATGGATTGTCTTAGACTGTATCCGAACGCGACGCGTCGTATCGGTCGTATCTCATTCAATCTATAGCAGTACAAAATGAGACGCGATGAAAAACTGCGGGTGCTTACATTTGTGCGATCGGATAGTCAGGTATTTTTACGAAACCTGCGATCTTAAGACCCCAAAATGGATTTAGAAACTGCAAGTTTACGAGGAATTGTTTTCGCGGACCATACAGCATGGCTCATATATTTTTGAATTGGTTGATTTTCTACGAAAATTCAATTTACCCAAAGACTGTCAAGGATTCCGAGATTCTGATGGTCGCTCGTGTCGTCCACGCACCGGCGTATGGTTTGTCGAACGTGGATCCCGATCGTTTTCCGTGTTTCCCGTTTTCCACCCCAGAATAAAACTATTGCGGTACAACATTCAGTAAGACACAACATAGCATCAATTCGCGTTTATTTATACATAGACGATTAGGTTTTAACTTGCCATTGAGTGGAAACACCTAATGTGAAACTATAGTATTACACTATTACCCCTTCACTACATGATCAAACACAAACAAAACTGTATTGACTTACTTAAAAATCGCCATTTGTGCAATTTTAAATGTATAAAACGATAAATTGTAAATGTATATATTTTTATAGGTACCTTTATATGCATAAGTATTTAGTTATACATTGAATTCAATGTAGTTAGGTAGGTAGGTAGGTATCATTCACATTTCTTTAAGATATAAAAAAAATGCTTACGTTTATAGGTTATAACTATTAACTTATAATACATAGTAAGTTAGGTTCCTGGGTGTACCTACCTATAAAGCATATATCTATAATTTAGTTGTATAAATCGTACTAAGAAAAACCTATAATGATGTTAAAAACTAGTAGGTGCCTATTAAGTTAATGAATGAAACCGATCTTGTTTAAAACACTATAATATTCAACTTTTTATTTTTCATTTTTATTAAATCGAAAAATGTTTACATATTATATTTTTTATCTCTTTGAAATAGTAAAAAAAACATAATATTTCAAAATATTTTGAGACTGCCGGTGGTAATAAGTTTTAACTTTTCAGCGGAAAAAACCACGTCCTATCATTATATTTGTACATATATTACATGCGGCGTCGGCGGCGACCCTTTAGAAAATTGGGTGGGATAGGAAAGGAAGATGTGTAATAGGGAAGCTAACATATAAATAATTATTAATTTGAATAGTGTAAGTATCTAAATATCTAATACAGGAGGAATATACAAATAATAGTTCAAAATTAAATAGAAAAATAAAAAGTTAGAGACAATATTGATAATTAATAATTAAGTGTCGTTTAACAATCCCAGTGTAGTAATTACTTACGTTAACAACCCTAAAACACGTGTAACTCTTTTTTATCACGCATTTAAATTTTAAATGCTAAAAATAATTGTAAATGCCTCTTCGGCTCTTACCAATACCAATATACCTACTATTAATTAGTATTAATGCGTATTGTATATTTATTCAATGTCATATGTATATTTGAGTGTGTTGAAAATATTTTTTTCTAATTATTTCATAAAACAAAGATTTTTGTATTAACTGTTTTGATAAACTGTATAAAAACCGTTTCATTTAAAAACATCTGAATTTTAAAAATATCTGGTCAATAAACAAAATAATGTCACTTCGTCGTTGTGCATTAAAAAAAAAAAAATATATATATTTACTTATTTAACATTGAATTATAAATAGATAGTTAGACCGTCATTACAAGAAACATTTAGTTCAATTAGTACGAAACATCCTACCTAATCTAAACTTTCATAATAGTGAAACATATACAATATACGGGTAATGGTGTTCGTAAATCAAACGTCATTTTCCAATACGACCCCAGTCGAAGAAGCTATTGCAATTTAAAAGCTGTCACTCAAAAACTGTATTACACATTCTCTATATTGGTTTCGTATTTTATACTTATTCAAAATCAACTATGAAATTTCAACATCACACCTTCAAATCGTGTTATGCCATGACTAACTCAACTTGTGAATATACGTTGTGATATATTTACTGTATTAACAATGTTTGTTGTGTTTTTTTTTTGTCAATATTATTGATTTTTGGCATTTTAGCCCGAACGTTGCACGTTTATGTTGTGGTTGTATTCCTGGCTTCTGAAAGGTGTGTGTTAGCCTTATTACATTAAACTCGTTAATTGATTGAAACAAATAAAACTAGACTAGGATAATAATGTTCTATAATCTATTAGATTCTATATTATTTCATATGTGTTCCATAAGATATAGTAATTTTTATTTGTATTAATTATTGTGTTTAGGTATTCTATAACATATACTTAATATGTGCATAATATACATCAATATTCTTATTGCGCCAATAGGTATATATTATGTATTTATTATCAATTACAATTAAAGGTTTTTTTTCTTTGAAATATTGAATATTTCACGTAAAACTTAACAAGTATCAACATAATATATTATATACGATTCGCTTAGTTTAATATGAAATAATGTTCAAATGTTTCCTCGGATCATAATCAAAAACAATTATCTGCAATCAATTATTGTCGATATAGAATTTTTAATTTAAACAATGCGTCTTATTGTGAGGACTTTTTAAAATCTAATCGTATCGTCTCTTGGTCAAATGTACTATTGCACTTAACACCTAAAGTGTGCGTTGCTGGTTGATACAACAATAGTAATCAATATGGCAAGTAGTAACAAACAGTAGTATACGCCTAAGTGCATTGTAAAATGTACATATATCAAAATTATGATTTAATTACTATTAGGTACTTATAATAATTATCATAATGCCGGGTCCACACAGAGACGACACAGAAACAAAACAAAAACCAAACTCAAACCCTTCTTTTTGAAGTTTGAAAAAAATAAAACACAAACAAAACATGTGTCCATACTGAGTTGAGTAAGAATTAAACAAAACATGAACAAAATTCAAACATTTGTTCGTGTTTTGTTTTTGTTTTCAACTATCCACACAGAAATATAAACTCGTCGTTTTATTTCGTTCATCCGTGGTCATTCAGTTTCAGTCTGTCTTCAGAATTCTAGCTTTTTAAACTCTTCGTACAAGTTTTTTTAAATTTTTTTACTGTGAGTGAAAATGTGGAAATTAAAAAGAGATATTGAAGAACATGAAAATTTACTTATGTTGGGTGCTGGGTATATTTACCTACAGTTACAAAGTAAAAAAATAAATAATAAGATTAAAAGACGTTTTTGGGTAAGACCAACTTTACAAAAAAGAAATTTGTTTGGTGCCGATGAACTTCTAAAGAATTTACAAGATGATGATATTGGTTTGAACGGAGAATTGCGATCTAGCTTTAAAAACTTTTTGAGGATGTCAACTGAAGATTTCGAAAACTTAATATGTCTCATTGGTCCAGCAATCCACAAACAAAATACTAATTGGAGAACTGCTATTAGTGTGACTGAACGTTTAGCTTTGACTTTAAGGTTCTTGGCAACGGGAGACTCTTACCATAGCATGATGTATCAATTTAAAATATCTACTCAGTCAATATCACTTATAGTTCCGGAAGTTTGTGAAGCAATAGTCAAAGCTCTTTCGGAGTATATTAAGGTAGGCACATACATAAATAAATTATTAAAATAAATCTATTATAAGTGTTTTTTTTTTTACAAATAAATATCTATATTTGTTGTAATTGAAGTAGGTAGGTACTGAAAAATATTTAATATGAGAATAACAAATAATAATAATAACTTTTAAATAACGTAGCATAACTTTTTTATATTTAAATATAAAAAAAAACAGAAACTTTTTTTTCATGTACTTGCACTTAATTTTAAAACAATTCAATATTTAAAAAATGAAAACATAATTTTTTAACTGTTAAAAAAAAAAAAAAATGAAAACTAACTTATTTTCTAATTATTCTAAGGGATTTTTCCATTGTAAATAATCAGACATATCTATGTTTGAAGTTGTTTCTAAAACTTCTTGGACGCTGGGAGGGTTGGAATAGGAAACGTTCGATGCGGAAGCTGATGAAGTATTACCGTGATAATTGTCATAAAGAGGATAACAATTATTTCTCTGTGGTGGTTCATCGTATTTTCCCATCTCACCTTCATATAAGAGATTGCTCATTAAATTCTGCACCGTGCATTGTGCATAACGCGTACGAAGAACACGCAATTTGCGTGACACTAAATCACCAAACACATCAAATTCATCCAAGTTTTTCTCTTCACGTTCCATGCGGCTTTTTTGAATAGATTTCATCATTTCAAATACGTCTTGAGACTTATCTTCAATTTCTTTAGAGCTTTTGGATGATTTTAGGAACTTATGTGATACTTTTGACGACTTATTGGGAGGAGTGTCTGATACATTTTTAGCATTACTTAGCATTTGTATTGATTTCATCCACTTCGAATTGATTAGCAGCTCCTTCATGTTCATTAGATTTTGAAATAGTTGTGCATACCTCAATATTTTGTTCATTCTCATCATCGCTGGTTACACAGTCATTTTGCTAAACCAACAATATTAAAATAATTTCAATGCCTTCATATTATTTATTTAATCATTTTCATATGATTTGAATTAGTGAAAGGTCAAACCATGATTTTCTAAATCGAACCGAACTTGAACCTAACTTAAAATTATTTTATCGAACCCGAACTGAACCTTCATATTTTCTATCGAATCGAACCTAGAACCATTTTAAGCCAAATTCAAACTGGTACACCAACTATTTTATCATGTACGGATTGTACCCACAAATTAAATCAACCATAATTACTATTATATTTTAAGTTTTCGTATTACCTATTCAAAATTTTAACTTTTAAGTCTATGTAACTATATTTACAATAAATTTAGATGATTTATTATTCTCGATTCTGAACGGAGCGATGAATGTATTGATTTTACAATGATGTGTGTTTTTTTATTTTTTTATTTTAGTATCTGTGTACACGATTATAGTAGTCGAAATAATGCTTCGATTTTCAACTTCAGTATCTTGTTCGATGGCAAAGCGAATCTAGTAGGTACTTATGGGAGGTAAAAATTTAAAATTCCCAAAAGTTTTCAAAAGCGCCCGGAAAAACAAAAGAAAAATTAAAACGGGAAGAATTTTTACGCAAAATCGGTTTTTGACAAATTTGATTTTGGCTTTTGGTGTAGGCAACTCTAAAACAAATTACCTTAGGTACATGAAATTTTCACTAAATGTTTATATTAGCATTTTCTATACACCGTAACATTTTCCAAATATTTTGACTTATTTTGAGATGTTTACGGACATTTTCTGTTTCTATTTTTTTTAGTTTTTTTTCTATAAATATCAATAAAATTTTATTAGTTGGTTAAAAAAGCTTGAAAATTTAATAGAAGGCTCCTAGTATATTGTTTCAAAGGCACATGAAAAAAATTAAAAATCCAAAGTCACAGTTTTTTTTATAAGCATTTAAAGTTCAAATATTAACAAAATACTTAAAAATTACGAAAATTTGCAAATTATTTTGAGTTAGAAATTCATAAATAATTTTCTTTTTAGATTTTAAAATGTAACACAAGTTGCCTTATAAGCTTATCAACTTTTATCAAAAAAAAAAAATGTCTATAAAAAAGTCAAATTACATTTTAATGAGCGTTTGAAATGCAATTTTTACAACCTTCGATATTCACTCGATTTCTCATTTAGCGATTTACTTATTTTGTTGTAATTCAAAAACGAATAACTGTAGATACATGAAAATTATACTGAATGTTTATTTTATCAATTTTTATACTTGATAGAATTTTTAAAATATTTTGACTTGTTTTGAGCTGTTAAAGGACAATTTCAAATTTCAATTTTTTTATTTTTTTTTTTATAATAATATCAATAAAGTTTTATCTGTTGGGCCAAAAAGTGTAAAAATTTAATACAAGACTCCTGGTGTATTGTTACAATTGTAGTTGAAAAATATTAAAAATACATTAGCACAATTTTTTTTATAGTCATTTTAAGTTCAAATTTGGACGAAATTACATATTAAAAAACCTATTGAATAACTATTTAGTTATTTTGTTGTGATTGTATAATATTATTCGTGGGTACTTGAATCTTCTAAAGTATACTATACTATACTTTAGTATACCTACTATACTTTACAGTGGCGCCGAAGTTTTTAAAATGTGGTCGGGCAATTTTAAAACTTCCCGGCCTCAATATCTTAATTATTTAATATAGAGGTACCCTAATATAAATTTATTCATAATCACGGTTTAAATTTACTCATGCTTATAATAAAGTTATGATGTAAATTAAATATGGCCGGCCGGCCACATTTTTCAAAAAAGAGGTCGGGCCATGGCCCGACGTCAGCATGGACTTCGGCGCCACTGATACTTTATATATCTATGATAGTACCACGGTTTGTTGTTGATGTATACATATAAGTACCTACCTAATGGATATTATTATATGATTATAATCAAATTATAATTTGGAATTTATTATAGGTACCAATTATAGGTCAATTTTTTTTTTAATACCGTAGATAAGTGTATAATATTATGTCTTATACCTAGACTGAAAATTTGATATCATAATTTTAGATGCCTTCAAGCTCAGAAGAATGGAAAAAAAATAGCTTTTGATTACAATAAAATTTGGAATTTTCCTCAATGCGTCGGATCTATGGACGGAAAACATGTTGTTATTGAAGCACCAATACTAAGTGGAAGTGATTTTTATAACTATTAAGGCACATTTAGCATTGTACTATTTGCTATTGTAGATGCTAACTATAATTTTATTTACGTTAATGTTGGTTGTCAAGGTCGTATATCGGACGGAGGAGTATTTAAAAGTACTGGATTCCAAAAGCTCATGGAAAATTCTACTTTGAACCTTCCAGATAAAAGAGCGCTGCCAGGTCGGGACAAATTGAGCCCATATGTTTTCGTAGCTGATGATGCTTTTCCTCTTTCACCCAATATAATGAAACCCTATAGCGGACATCAGCCTAAAGCTTCGAAAAATCGTATATTCAATTACCGTCTCAGTCGTGCTAGGAGAGTTGTAGAAAACGTATTTGGTATAATGGCGTCAATATTTAGAGTATTTCGAAAACCTATGCTACTACAACCAGAAAAAGTTGATAAAATAGTATTGGCTTGTGTTCATCTTCATAATTATTTAAGAAAACATTCATCGAAAACCACATACAACCCACCAGGTACATTTGATTCAGAACAGTTAGATAGTGGAACAGTAGAAACAGGATCCTGGAGAAGAGAACATCAGAATTTACAATCATTTTTACCTATTCATCAAGTTCCCCGAAAGTCATCGATCGAAGCTGCAGAAGTTAGAGACGAATTTAGTGAAAACTTCATCTCACATGAAGGTGAAGTTCCATGGCAATTAAACTATTGCTAATTTTGAAAACACTATTATTAATATATTTTTTTAAATATATTTTACTACGAAAAATATTAAATATTTCGATTTATTATTATCATTATTATTTTTCATTGTTTTTGTAAGGTATACTTAATAGCGTAGTAGCGTAAAAATTATTTTTTTTTTTTTAAACATATTGGAAAGAATTTAAATTTGATTCACGATAGTACCTAACTTGAATGAAATGGAATGGCAGTGACGAAGTGTAATTATGTATTTATTATTTTTATGTTATAATATTTTTCTGTTATGAATATTTTTATGATTAAATGTTGTAAAAATATTTGTATTTATTTATTATATTTAGTGACTACCTAGATGAGTTGTGTACTGCACCACTGTACTACATGGCAACTATTAAAATATGTATATACTTATTTATTTAAATATTTTGAAATAAAGTAATATAATTATTAATATTTATACATACCTGCCATTCATCTAATCCAAATTCTCGTGTTTTCCTAGGTTTATTTTTATCTTGTAGAAAACTCATAAGGTCATATCCGAACCATTTAGCATGAAATTCTTTTCCAGCTCCTGATTTTTTCATAGCTTTATAGTTACGCCTTTCTCTTGTGTATTGCGAGTATACATTTTTAAGCTTCCTGTCTATTTCACTAGAATCAGTATTGAATGTGATCCCTATTTCTTTCAATGCATCAGCTGTTTTGAATTTATTTTTATGGTTTAAGTTTTTGGCATCCCACAATATTGGGGATTCACGGTACAACTCAATCAGCTTGCACGTTTCTTCAGTAGTCCATTTTTTTTTATTCATTTTTTTTGCTTAGTTATACCGAATTGCACCGAATAATTTTAATTAAACAAAATAAAACTTAAATAAAACTAAATTTTTTATTTTCGAAAATTTAAATCAAACACACACGTGTCGTGTACGTCAACAGTACGACAGACTAATTGATACTAAAATGGTAGACAGCGAATGTATAATTAATAATTATATAATAAATATAATATATTAATAACCAAATCGGTACTGCCCGCGAAATCCCGAAAAAAAAATATTGCCTGTTGGTTGTTTTGAAAACATGTCCACACACGTTCGACAGTGTTCGCAAAAACAACAACAAAACCAAAACCTTTTGATGTTTACCGACACCGCTCGGGACACGACTTTGTTTTTCAAAACACGAACAATTTGTTGAAAAAAACAAAATTGTTTTAAAAATGTTTTGATTTTGTCGAAAAACACAGAGTTTTTGTTTTGTTTTACTTTTGTCGTCTCTGTGTGGACCCGGCATAACAATTACTTCCTCGACGTTCAAAATATTTCAAAATAAATTTAGCTTTGTTTTGGGTAATCCACATTTCAAAAGGCTAATTAAATGTGTTTTAAATTCAGAAAAAATACAGTTAGGTGATGTGTGTGGAATTTGTTTCATTCCGCTCGGTTAGGTATAGTTACATATCATATTGTGCGAAGAAAGAAAGCCACCGCTGTCGAATTATTTCTACGACTTTGAATCGAAATTCATGTTGTAAGTTGTTTATCAATCCTGAAGAGTTCGCACCAATATCACAGCGATCCCGCAGCTAGAGAATATTTTCCACTCGTTGTCATCGGAATGACACTGTGCCGCAATAGGTATAGTATTGCGCAACGACTTTCTTTTTATATTATAATTTTTTTGGCGACGTTATTTTCTGCACTTCGTGTTTTACCGAATATCCTAACGGTTGCCGGAATGTCGCCCACGCAAGCTCACTATTTTATAAATTCTGTAACGCGGTATAAAAGTGGCCAAGTCCCCGGCCTCGTTTGTGCAGCATCCATGCCTATGCAGTGAGCTCTTTTTCAGTACAACACTCGTCATAATTATAATGTTGCGATTTTATCGTGTGAATTAATTGAATATTATATAATAATTTATAATATACATACACAATATAATATATCACAGCCGTATTTACTTGTCAGTCGTCTGTGACACCAACCGAAAAATTTAAATTGACTCATAACTAATTTTCAGAATTTTTTTTTAGAAAAAAAAATGATTTTATAGACGAAATACTTCCTAAAAATATTAAT